TCAGTTACTTTCCAAAAACAGACAAGTAGCTTTGAAGATTAACCATAGAGCAGTAATCTAGTGTTATGGTAAAGCTCACTCTCCAAATTATTTTAATTTAAACAAATACTTTATATAAACCTATATTACAATATTGCACATAGTCAAAAAAGATTCAGCACTGTAAATATTCAGTTAAGACTTATTTCAATTTTCTTACAGAATCAGTAGCTTAGCAGAATTGCCACTCATCAAAAAGCAGCGTGCACACACACACACACACACACACACTATCTTGAGATAATGTATCCAATTCACATGCAGCACAATCTAATGGATGTTCTCTTGAAAGCAATTTCTATTAGGTTGAATGGAACTTATTCTCTGGTTTAAAAATAAAACTTGTGTCATTTTAAGACTAAGAATGCATAAGGTTATACATAAGTTTTCACAGACAACAGTCCACTTTTTCAGGTTATTTTTTTTTAAATCTTATGTCATAATAAACTAGTTGGTTCTTAATGGGGACAAAAAATCTGTTTTGTTAGAATACTCGTACTGCTTTGGAGATTCTCTGGAAGTGATTTATGGTTACAAACTTTTACAGGAGGATGTATTTATCTGAGTAAGAGTTATGTTGGAAGTTAAGTAACATATTTATGATACTGTTTAATGTTAAGTACTTATTTAATACCATAGTACTTTGAAATGAACAAAAATTCCTTATCAACTATAAACTGCCCACAGCAACATGTCAGCCTCTTAATTGTACTAATTCAAATGTAAAATGTACATTTTACATTTACATTTGTACACATTACATTGTACTTTAAAATGAATTAAAGTATTGCTTCTTCAGGATATGAGCCTATATAAACAGTATGATGATAGTTTGACTGGATGGAGTTTGATCAATCATTCACATCAAGGAGTAGCAGTGACCCAAAATAATCAGCAAGCAGCTGAGCCTAGAAGGCCATTGGGAATCACCAAACATGTAAACAAAGTAGAAGTAGACTTGCTGTTTTGGAAAAAGTAACCAAATAAGTAAACTCTAATTATATTCCTGGACTTCATAAACAAGCTTCCTGCACAAGGCCTCATACCACGTGGGATGGCAAAAAGTTGGGATTATAATTCAGTTTTTAAAAATGTGACACCCCATTAATTATTTACAACTGGCCTAAAAAAGAAGTACATCTACCTTGCAGAGATATAGCAACAACGGTTTTTTGCATTAACTTTGTCTCTGCTCTGCAAAAAGGTCTGGTTTAAGATCAACTAATAAGTAATCAAAGTAAAAAGCTATAATATTGAATCTAGCACAGAGACAGCTCTGAAAGCATTTTACTCCTATTATTCCTTTGGGAAAAACAATCATGAAAAGTATCAAACTAAAACTTCCATACTGAACCCTGCTCATTCACACTTAGTATTTAGTTTCCTAAGTATCTGATACCAAAAGCCCTTCTTTATAAAGCTTATGTACAATCAATGTCTATGCAAATATACCTTGTAAAAGTAGCTTTTAGATCACACACGTGCACACATATTAAACTATATAAGGGCTACCTGATAAAGCTTTAAAGCTAAGCTCAAGGAAAGCTTGGCAGAAAGTGGGGGAGAGGTGCTGATTATTTTTGTTTCTATGAGTAACCAGCATGTAAATAAGTAGGCCAAGGGTCCACAGAGGCAAGAATAATGTGCACTCTCCCATACCCAACTCAAATTAAAATAAGTAGGCTGACCATAATGACACTGGAACAAAACAAAACACGGGATGGGGAAATGGAAGAGAAAAAAGACAAAGCCAATGTGCGGAAGAGTTATTTGCAGGGGTGACCCAGTTAGGTCCTAATAAAGAGGGCTCTCCATCTTTCTGAACTAGCATGCAACAGGTCTTAAGGCTGTAGCCTGAAAAGCCTGCGAGCGCCTGTTGTAAAACGTCGCCCTTCACGTAGGAAGCACCCAAGAGCTTCTTAGCCAAATCGCCCCTGGAAAACTTCAGGAACGGCCTCCAGAGACAGACGGATTCAAGCAGCCCAGAGAAGGAGGGGACTCCCTTCCCCCCACGCCGGGGTTACACAAACGCGACAACATTTTCCGCGCTCACGTCCCCTCCCCCACCCCTCATTTCAACTTAAAAGACACCCCCCGTCCCCGGGTCCAAGTTCAGCAACCCCTTTGGCCGCAGCCCCCCTCCCTCAGCATTAGCCAAGGCAAACGGCCAGAAAAGCGCGAGAGCTCCCTTCCCTTCCCCCACTCTGCAGCCATACTGCTTAAATCCGAGGTAACGAAATAAGTATCAACCTGACCCCCCCTCCAGTAGAAATAGGGGTCCGAGAGGGCAAGTGGCCACCCCCTCAAGGCTCTCCTTTCAAACAAAGCAGGGCCCAAAGACTTTTCCCGACCCACTTCAGGGGCTCGGGGGTTGCCACAGGGAAACGTAGCCCATGAAGCTGGGAAAGAAGGGGGAGCGGGGGAATCCTAGGGCCAACCCAACTCGAAAGCCACCGAAACGTGAGGCGCAAACGTCCACCCGTATAAACAATAGTAAGCCGCACATCAAGTGCGGCAGGGGGGACATGAGGAAGTTGAAATCGCGCTGGAAAATATGGCACTCCCAAGGTATTCTCGGCGCCGCCAACCTGCATTTGTCAGTTTCTCTCAGGGAGTCCCCGAAAGGCCGGCCGGCCGGAAAAACTCACCTCCCTCCGCGCGTAGAAAGGCACAGCTCGCCCTCCGGGAAGCCCCCGAAGAAAGTCTCAACTTCTGCCAAAGCACCGAGTAACCCAAGTTCCTTTCACTTGCAGCCCATGGTGGAACTCTTCTTTTCAAACCTGAGGTCCCAAGAGCGTGAAGGCAGATTGTAAATCTCGAGCAGCCCTCGCACGCTCTTCTCTCCCCCCCCCTCCTCCTCCTCCTCCTTCTTCTCCTTCTCCTTCTCTACCTCCACCACCACATCCACTCTGGTGGCGGAGGGGATCAAAAGGAAGTCCGAGAGAGTGGCGGGCAGGAAAACGGAAAGTTTTGGGGTGCAGAATGGCGGTCAGGAGGCGCTGCTCCTGCTCACGCTCATTACTTCATTGGCAGTTAGCGTGCTCGAGAGCGAAGTGCATGTGGAAGTCAAGGGACAGCCTCTCCCTGCTGCAACTCCACGAGAGAACGAAGCAGGCAAAGGCTGGCAGAACCTGGCTGGCTAAGTGGTCTCCGGGGTTGGTGGTGGAAATCAGCATATTGATCTTAAAGGAAGAAACCCGG